GATTATGAGCCATGTCACACAGAGTCTACAAACAATTGGCGACAATAGTTACACGAACCCCAACCAAATAGTCTGCATCTGCCAACATTGCTCATACTAGAAGTTAGTGACTTCAAGCACTGATACCACGTTCTGGCTTGGCCGCCCCTAACTCTTTTCCAACAATCCCCTACACTAGTCAGCATAGCGCGTCGTGGTAATCGGTGTTCAGGCATACGTAACACGTGGCCCAACAATCTCAGTCGATGAAGATTCATCACCTCATCAACTGATTTACCATCATTCCCTAATACCCTGCGTCTAACCTCACTATAACTTACCCGGTGATCCCAGAAGATGCGAGCAATATTCTAAGCCATCTGTAATCAAATACTGCTAGCTTACAAGTATCTTCTACTCTTAATGGCCACGTTTCACAACCGTAAAATAAAACAGAACGAACTGCTGAGCAGTATACTCGTCCCTTAATTGATAGGCAGATATCTCGTCTTCACCATAGGTGAAGTAATTTGGCAAACGTTAAACGAGCTTTTTAAATCCGTGCAGAGATTTCGTCAGACACCAACCCATTAGGGCTGATCAGATTTCCAAGATAAGTGAAGTTCTCGACGCGTTCGACTACTTCACTACCTATCCTTAGTTCAGGTGTTGACGCAGGCCAGTCCTGGAGTAACAATTTACATTTAAAGGGGGGAGAAACGCATCCCAAATATCCTGGCATTGTTACTCAGTTCTAACAGAAGACCCTGCATTTTATCAGCGTCTTCACCAAATAGGACAGTATAAACAAGTTACTGTGGGAGACAACAAACCAGATTCCGTCCAGTAGAGGAAGAAATCAGGAAGAAGCGCTGGAAGTGGATAGGGCACACATTGAGAAAAGCACTGAACTGTGTCACAAGACAAGCCCTCACATGGAATCCTGAAGGCCAAAGGAGAAGAGGAAGACCAAAGAACACATTACGCCGAGAAATGGAAACAGACATGAGAAGAATGAACAAAAACTGGATAGAACTAGAAAAGAAGGCTCAGGACAGAGTGTGTTGTAGAATGCTGGTCGGCGGCCTATGCTCCATTGGGAGTAACAGACGTAAGTAAATAAGTATCTGCGTATACTAAGTCGATAAGTGGACTTCCTGGTAGATCAGTTCCTAGAAACTCAGTTATATATATATATATAAACAACTTTTTTTGTTTTATTTTTTAGCATGAATTAAGGTTATCAAACAAGAACAACAAGAAAACTTGTACAAACAAGTAAATCAAGTAATCAGTTAAATACAAACTTAATTAATGAATATTCTTTTTTGTACTGTAAACCTTCTATTCTATTCTATAATCATGTTAATTAAACTATACAAGTAATAGTAAATGATAAGTTGGTAGTTAGACTTATTCAAGCTGTTTATTATAATGATAAGAATTTCAGGTCGATGAATAAAGTAGCTTTATACTACATTTGTATTGTTCTGACTCATTGGTCTAAGTAATATTTCATATATTTCTATTTAATTAATTCTTTTAAGACGGTCATCTTAAAATTTGGCATCTATATATTTTCGTAATATATATTTATAATCGTTAATTCTCATAGTTGAAAACATGAGTCAATTGAAGTTAGACTACCAAAGAAAATCTGGAAGCACTGGATGGTCATATTGTGGGACCCCTCAACAGGGCGAATCCACGACCTTGACTCGCGAGGTTTAAACCCAGGTTTTAAGTGGTGGTCTAGCTACAATTGACTCAAGCTTCACAAAAAACCCTTCTGATTATAATCGTAAATTCATCAGTTTTACATTTGTTTCTACTTAGTCAATTGTGTATAATAACGTCGAGTGACTTATACATTTTTAAAAAAATAGTAACAACTGATTGTGAATCATGCCTCCCAAAATACCCTGGTACGGCCGAGTGAGGAGAGTTAGCTCTCCCGCTCGAAATGCCCTCATATGACCAGCGAATATATAGCCTCTTCCAGGGAAGTCCTACTCACTGCCTTCTCGTGGCATTACTGTTGTTTAAGAAATTGAGAGGACGAAAAGCGAATGTCCGGCGATTTAACCGGGTTGGTGGATGTGGAGGATCCACCTAGGGGAGTTGGAAAACCCTGATTCCAAACCAATGGTGCACATGGACTGGCTCCAGAATCCTGACGGAACGAATGGCGAATGAACCTCTTGTTGGTCACCGGCTACCATGGGACTGCATCTCCTCACGATGCTTCACTGCCTTATGGATCAGACCTTTAGGTCAAAGGCTCGGGGTGTGGCCCCCTAAGAAAACCACCTGCTTCAGTTTGGGCACCTGGGCAGTATCACAGCCCTCACACAATTAAAATGAGATTTGTGTGGCGTATATGTATCTGGTGCTTCCTTGTACCAATATATTTGTGTTTAAATAATAAATTGTGAATCTTTTTATAGAAAAATACAAGAACCAAAACAGTGCTTAGCATATTTCCCTCATTATCTGTCCCCATAAAAGCAAAAAAAGAAAAACACTTACAACAATTCATACATGAAAATATATTCGGTGATAAGAACGTTTTGGGGCAGTAAGAGTAGTAATGAACACTCACGGAATAGAAACGGGGATTGATCACAGTATCAAACATCGACAACTTCGATTGAATTGATCGATAAAAGTTTCTTCCCAATGTTTGAATTGCTTCTTTGGATGACTATCAGTGGGTCGTTTTCTTTGGTGGTAATATTTAATGAGAAATTGTCTGAATGTCAGCAGTATCATTTCGATTACTGTTACATGTTATCAAAGAAACAGCATTTTCATTTTGTGACATGCTAGTTTTTCTTGTACAACATGGAAGCATAACTAAACAAGTATATTAACTGACCACCAAAGGTCCCAACAACAGAGGAAGCGGAAGTTCCCTTAAGATTAAGCGTATACTGTTAAGAGAGATAACCCTATCAAGACACTCGGGTTATAATCAAATTTATCTATATAATTACATCTTTAGATACCTTGAACTAAACGATTAATAGGTAAACATACTTAAAAGTTTGTAGTTAGGATTGCATCAATACACAAATACAACAAAGCACATTTATATAAAACTGTCAGTCAGTCGATTCTGGGTCATGTTACACACAGTCTCCAACCATTGGTTACGATAAAGACGCGGACCCCAACCAGGTAGTCTGCATCTGCCAATATGGCTCAGACAAGAAGTTAGTGACTTCAAGCACTGATACCACGTTCTGGCTTGGCCGCCCCTAACTCTTTTCCAACAATCCCCTACACTAGTCAGCATAGCGCGTCGTGGTAATCGGTGTTCAGGCATACGTAACACGTGGCCCAACAATCTCAGTCGATGAAGATTCATCACCTCATCAACTGATTTACCATCATTCCCTAATACCCTGAGCCATATACAACTGTAGGTCGTATCAAATACAAATCTCGTTCCGTGGAGGAAAAATAGAGCTAATGACTATATAGTCGACAATATAAAAATTACTCTCAATCATTATAAAGAGGACACTCGAATCAATACATGTTGTTTTAAAATAGTTGACAACTTTGCTTTATTTCTTTTGTCAATCGATTATGTAAACAAGAAAGTGATAGACAGCAAAGAATTGATTACGATCAATTAGATATGGTTAAAAAGGTGTAAGGAAATCAAAAATATTGACATAATCAAACTTTGATAAGTAAACTTCAAATTCTACTTGTTTGACGGTTGACTTTGTCATTAAATGCACCCATTCGAACACTGAACAACCTTGTCACTCCAGTTTTTTGACATATTCAGGGTAAACTATTTTCAATACTTACGCTACCACTGCTCTTGGTTGATATTTTCCTAAGTTACGCAATATGTAATTTATTTACTGAGTCCACCTTTATGTACTCCATTTCGATGCATATGTTTATTTTCATAGTTGAAATCATGAGTCAATTAAAGTTAGACCACAATGGAAAACCTGTAAGCACTGGACGGCTGTTTCGTCCTATTGTGGGACTCCACAGCAGTGCGCATCCACGATCACGACTCGCGAGATTCGAACTCAGGACCTACCAGTCACGCGCCAGAGCACTTAAGCGATAGACCACTGAGCCGGCATCCAACGGTGTTAATGTCTAACTTCAACCAATCCACGGAGTTTGAGCAACCGTTCAACATACGCTTAGGAAGAGTAAACATTCTACTGGACTGCTAAGACCGATGTAGCTTTGATTGGATTCAGATTTATGACCTGATAGTCGGAAATCAACTTTTAACCACTATCAAACATTGCTCAACTGTGCAATTTCGAGGGAATTGAAGCAACCCTATGAAATCTAAACCAAAATCATCTATTTATTGTCGAAGGTGGAGGAGGGGTGACGTTACCAATGAGCTATTCAGAACAATATAAACAAATGAAATGGTAAGCAGCAACAAACAAAGAAGAAAACCTAAATAAACCCAACACAGAAGTATTTGTGTGTAAACAATATTTCCGCTAACTTACATTATTATTTATTACATTATTTAAACACATAAATATATTGGTACAAGGAAGCACCAGATACATATACGCCACACAAATCTCATTTTAATTGTGTGAGGGCTGTGATACTGCCCAGGTGCCCAGACTGAAGCAGGTGGTTTTCTTAGGGGGCCACACCCCGAGCCTTTGACCTGAAGGTCTGATCCATAAGGCAGTGAAGCATCGTGAGGAGATGCAGTCCCATGGTAGCCGGTGACCAACAAGATGTTCATTCGCCATTCGTTCCGTCAGGATTCTGGAGCCAGTCCATGTGCACCATTGGTTTGGAATCAGGGTTTTCCAACTCCCCTAGGTGGATCCTCCACATCCACCAATCCGGTTAAATCGCCGGACATTCGCTTTTCGTCCTCTCAATTTCTTAAACAACAGTAATGCCACGAGAAGGCAGTGAGTAGGACTTCCCTGGCAGAGGCTATATATGCATGACCATGGCTTACTTATATAGTTATCAATCAGAGGGAAAATTAAAAAAAACAATGAAAAACATTTCTCTTTATTTTTCTCATAAAAAAACAATCATAGTTCATTGAAATCACACAGAAAATTATGATATACAAAATAGAATACTTACATTACCTAAATTTGTTCAATATAAAAAATTACATCCTTCAATGGAGATATTGTTTCCGGATAAAGATTTTATTTCATATGATGAAACTGAAAGATAAAGATAGTGTCTAGTAACAAGTAATAACCTGTAATCCCATCATTATCATGATTAAGTGAGAGTGGGGGAGGGAGGAAAGGTTAGAAGATTAAAAGAAAAAGCAAATGATTCCCAGATATAAATATGCTTTATACAAATTAACCACGGTCAACAACTGTGTGTATAATGGAAAGATACAATTATATCACATATTATTCCATTAGAAATAAACATTGATAAAAATAATAAACATTATACATATCCAGAGGGTCGGCGGCCTATGCTCCATTGGGAGTAACAGGTGTAAATAAGTAAGTAAGTAAGTAATACATATCCAAAGCCCCTTTTAATTGAAAAGTAGTAAAATATTTCTATTTTTAGGAGGGAGGAATTTGTTAAAAACATCAGAATGGAGATTACAGAAAAATAAACAAAATTAAAGACGAGAAAGGCTATATAAAGAAAGACATATAGTGCATGATACGTTCTCCTTGAAGAAAGAGAAGAAGTTGAAAATTTTGTTTTGTTTTAAGAAATATGGAATGTTGAACTATTGTCATTATTAATTATTTTGTGATCTTTGTAAATTATGATGACGACGTAGTTGGTGACACTGTGTACAGACTGACAGCTGGAGCTGGAACTGGTTGTTTAGTGACAAGAGTTTCTGTATTATTATTATCATTGTTCATTGGGATTTCAAAATGTGGTTCGTTATAAGCCTAGTGGTAGGAGAAGAAATAAAATGAAATAAATACTTACTGCACCGCAATAACTAATCATTCTTGAAGAAATAGTAAACCTAAGGCTACCTAACGGTTATGGAACTCTAAATCTTGTAATTAGGTAGTGGGGTTAAACCAGCAACACCAGTTTTTTGTTCGGCCGGCGGATATTTGAAAGTCGTGCATTTAAACTTATACTCACTAAATTAGATACATTACACCTATAGTAGAGTTAAAGTGATAATAAGATTATTCTGACCTATTGACCTAGATACAATGTGTATGTGAGTTGAAGACGGAACGACAGGTATAACATCAAGCATTATATATATGTCGGTTCCCACTGTTTCATACTTTACATCAGAACACATGAAAGAAATAAGCGAGGTGGGAATCAAAACATTCAAAAAAATAAAACTGACAATTTAGTAAAACTTTGTGTTTCTAACATCTGAACAATTATGTTTCGAAGACCACAAACAGGGATCAAGCATATTATATGGCTTAAATCAGTAGCTTATAAATTTAGAAACTGGTTTCTCCCCATAGTTCGACGTCGTTCAGGTGTTTTCCAACCTACTTCTACACTATCTACCGTTTACGTCTTAGTGGATGGTAACTAGAAATGAGTAACATCTGTCTCGGTTTTACAAGTATACATATAGTGCTGTATGCCGAAAATCGCCTTTTCCTACCAGCTAGACCCATATTATGCGACCAATGCTTCCAATACGTCTATGAACAAGGGCCAGAGTTAAAGTATGTTTCAGGAGTAGCGATTCTAGTGGTTTTCTTCAATAGTGGGCGATGGTAAAAAGAACCTAGCTTTTAACGTTGATTGGGTGACAGTAAATGTCAGTTCAAGCAATCTCTTTCGGCCTCCACACATACAGATATATGTATATCTCGTTATTTACAGCTTCATGATCAATGAATCGAAAATTTCATGTAACAAAAATTGAATAATTCTACAGGTTAAAACTCAAAAGTTGAAGTGATTTTTAGGTTTTTCTATTGACTAAAAGGAACAGTAAACTTACAAAGAGCGTTTACGATAATGAATATGCACTCAATAAACATTACAGTTGATACTAAATTTAAAAAACAAATAAAATCCAGACCAGTTGAATTGCTCCAAGAAGTATTTCCTGGAGTTCTAGTGAGAAGCAGTAACCAGTGGAATTCAACCAGATCTGTTGTGAGATAGTAACTCACTGGAGACAATGGTGGACGGTTGCTTAATTTCGTGGATTGGTTGAAGTTAGACATTAACACCGTTGGATATCGGCTTAGTGGTTCTAGAGGTTAAGCGCTCGCGCGTGTGACTGAAAGGTCCTGGGTTCGAATCTCGCGAGGTGATATTGTGGATGCGCACTGCTGAGTAGTCCCGCAAAAAGATGAAACGGCCGTCCAGAGCTTCCAGGTTTTCCATTGTGGTCTAGACTCAATTGACTCATGATTTCAACTATAAAATTACTAAAATCTCCAAAAAAACCCCTTCTGAAAATAAGATACCGTTTTCCGGCATTTACTAGTTTAACTTCTATTATACATCTCTTTAATTGAATAGGTATAATTTATTTACCAGACGCAAATTCATAAGCTTAGTTTTGAGTTACACTTTGCACCAAATGCCCTGGTACGGCCGAGAGTGGAGAGAGTCCGCTCTCCCTCTCCAAATGCTCTCACATGTCCACGCGAATATATAGCCTCTTCCAGGGAAGTCCTACTCACTGCCTTCTCGTGGCAGTACTGTTGTTTAAGAAATTGAGAGGACGAAAAGCGAATGTCCGGCGATTTAACCGGGTTGGTGGATGTGGAGGATCCACCTAGGGGAGTTGGAAAACCCTGATTCCAAACCAATGGTGCACATGGACTGGCTCCAGAATCCTGACGGAACGAATGGCGAATGAACCTCTTGTTGGTCACCGGCTACCATGGGACTGCATCTCCTCACGATGCTCCACTGCCTTGTGGGTTAGACCTTAGGTCAAAGGTTCGGGGTGTGGTCCCCTAAGAAAACCACCTGCTTCGGTTTGGGCACCCGAGCAGTATCACAGCCCTCACACAAATAAATGAAATGATGACTTGCACTGACAATCCTACTTACACGCTTACTATATGCCAGACAATCTGCATTATTATTATTATTATTATTATTATTATTTTTATTATTATCATTTACCATATCGCTAATTCACCCCCTTTTACTCCCAATTTGTGTACCCCTACTCTTCAACTTATGGAGCAGCTCGCCCATGCTGGAAACTCTGTTTTATCTAAACGATCTCTAGTCACTGTCTGGTCGAAAGTGAATGCTTCCACCGATTACGAATACTGAAGCAGTCTTTCTGAAACCACGTACGATGTTTAAGCTGGCCTCCTTCAACGTTCGCACATTAATGCAGATCAGACAACAGATGGGGCTGGCTTTGTCTTTAGAAAGTCTTAATGTTGATGTTTGCTGTATATCTGAGACCCGTATTCAAGACTCTAGTGAAGTACTACTATGAAAAGCGAATGTTCGACGCTTTAATCGGTTTGGTGGATACGGAGAATCGACCTAGGAGAGTTGGGAAACCCTGATTTCAAACCAATGGTGCACATAGGCTCTAGGATCCTTAGGGGACAAACGGCGTATGAACCAACTATTGGTCACCGGCTACCATGCGACTGCATTTCCTCATGTTGTTTCACTGCCTTATGGATCAGACCCTTAGGTCGAAGGCTTTGGGTGTTGCCCCCTTAAGAAACCACGTTCTTCGGTTTGGGCAGCTGTGTTTAAATAAATAATAAATAAACATAAACTGTTCATATTCATGTTTGCTGTCCATCCGAGACCCGTATTCAAGACTCTAGTGAAGTAATACAAATTCGCTCTCCATCTGTCACTTCGAAAAGCTTGTTTCACGTGCTCTTATCTGGGAACTCTGTGACATCTTCGTCTGGTCTTGCAGGCGTTGGTGTTGCACTAAGCGCTAGGGCTGAGGCAGCACTAATCGAATGGATTCCCATTAACAGTCGGTTATGTGCTGTTAGATTAGAAAGTTCCGTCAAAGTGAAAAGAAACCGGCGTGAGAAACGGTGTCTTTTCGTCATCTCCGCCTATGCCCCGACAGATTGCAGCCCGGATGCAATCAAGGATGAGTTTTACCATCAGTTAACAGTTCTTCTCCAGAAAGTGCGTTCGACAGATATTGTAGTATTAGCCGGAGACTTGAATGCACAGGTCAGGCGTCTAGGCACAGAAGAGAGTCGTTTAGGTGGCCGATGGGGACTTGTTGGTCGCAGAACAGATAACAGGGACCGTTTGCTGCAACTATGCACAGACCACAACCTGTTTCTGACCAGCACTAACTTCCGGCACAGTCATCGCCGGTGTGCCACCTGGCGTCCTCCCTCTGCATCTCAAGCATGGACTCAGATTGATCACATCGCGATCAGCTACCGCTGGCGTGGTTGTGTACAAGACTGCCTCTCCTTTTGGAGTACCTATCTGGAGTCTGACCATGCCTTGGTCTGCGCCAATCTTACCTTACTTTTCAGTGGCCGAAGGATTGACCACCACCAACGGATTGATGTTAGTGAGCTGGCTGCAACTTCTGTTGCAAGTAAGTATCAAGCCGAGCTAGCTTCTAGGCTAGCTACCATCCCACCGAAAAGTATAGATGAGCATTGGTTGCATCTTCACGACGCCATGAAAATGGCGAGTAAAGTCGCTTGCGGCTTCGCGAAACGTCCCGCTTACAAGCACTGGGTTTCTTCTGGCTCCTTACAACTGATGGAAGCCCGTCGGTCTACTCCGGGTGACCGTGAGTTTGACCACAAACGAAGGCTGTTACGTAATGAAATCAAGCAAAGCTTGCGTAAGGACCGAGAAGCCTGGTGGTCGGAGCGTGCTAATGAGATGGAAGCAGCAGCTGCATCTGGTAACTGCCGGAAGCTCTTCCAACTCATCCGAGCCACTGGCAGCAAGAAGTCTGGTGTGAGTGAAACAATCTACGCGGATGATGGGATGCCAATCACTAATATCTCTCGATGTCTTGGACGATGGGCGGAATTTTTCGAAGGGCAGTTCAACTGGCCTGCTGCTCCGGCAACATCAACCAGTTTGTCCTGCCCCCCATGGCCGGTGACGACTGATCCACCAAACGAGGCGGAAGTCCGCAAGGAACTCCAACTCCTGAAGCGCTACAAATCACCGGGCCCAGATGACTTACCTCCGGCTCTTTTTAAAGATGGTGGTGACTTTCTGACTAAGGAATTGACTATGTTGTTTGCAAAGATTTGGGAGTCAGAAAGCGTTCCAACATCATGGAATGAGTCAATAGTCGTCCCTATCTTTAAAAAGGGTTCACGTTGTTCCTGTAACAACTATGGGGGGATAAGTCTACTCCCGATTGCGTCCAAACTATTGGCTTCTATCATTCTTCGTAGGTTGTTTAAAACCCGAGAACGATTGACTCGCGAGGAGCAGGCTGGTTTTCGTTCTGGTCGAGGATGCATTGATCACATCTTCACCCTTCGCCAAATGTTAGAACACCGTCATACTTATCGCAGGCCAACAATCGTAGTGTTTCTTGACATCAGGGCGGCCTTCGATTCGTTGAACAGGTCTGTTCTCTGGGATTGTCTATTGAAGAAGGGTGTGCCTGAGAAGTTCATTAACATCTTAAAGGCCCTGTATACGAACAGCTCAGGCAGAGTGAGGGCATACAACCACCTTTCTCCCTTGTTCCATTCGAACAGTGGGGTTAGGCAGGGTTGCCCGATCTCACCATTCCTCTTCAACTTTGCCATCGACGACATCCTGGAAACAGCTCTGGTGGATGTAAGTAATGGCGGTGTGGATCTGCTGTCTGGAGAACGACTTCTCGACCTCGAGTATGCGGATGATATTGTCTTACTGTGCGATGATGCTCAAGCCACGCAATCAGCACTTAATCAGTTGGCAATCAGTGTCCGCAGGTACGGCATGTGCTTTGCACCCTCCAAGTGCAAAGTACTCCTACAAGACTGGCGAGATTCTAATTCTGTACTCACCCCAGATGGTTAGCAGATTGAAGTAGTCGAGAAGTTCGTATATCTAGGTAGCTACATAAGTGCTGGTGGTGACGTGAGTGATGAGATCTATGTATGTATAACCAAAGCCAGAGCGGCTTATGCCAATCTGGGCCATCTTTGGCGCCTTCGTGATGTTAGTCTGGCTGTAAAAAGTCGGATCTACAACGCGTCGGTGAGAGCAGTTTTGCTCTATGCTTGTGAAACCTGGCCTCTCCGAGTTGAGGATGTTAGACGTCTCTTTGTGTTCGATCATCGTTGTCTCCCAAGGATTGCTGACATCCAGTGACAACACCATGTTAGCAATGCAGAGGTTCGGCATCGTGTGTTCGGGCGCAGAGACGATAATTCAATTGGTGTCACCATCTTGAAACACCGACTTCGGTGGCTTGGACATGTTTTACGAATGTCGTCCCAGAGACCTCCACTTTGTGCATTAATTGCCGACTCTGGGACTGGTTGGAAAAAGCGGAGAGGTGGTCAGTCAGTCACAACGTAGAACTTCGTACGCACGTACATCAGTTCGAGTTGCCATACCACATTAGCACAGAGATGCAGTTGTCGATTCAAATCCCATAGTGGTAGAAGTAGTAGGAGTATAATCAGAAATCCAAAAGATTAGGGTTTGAAGAAATTATTGAAGGAGTATAGTACAGTGAAATAAATTTGGAAAGAGAAAAAGATAAAGACATGAGGAATTCAGAAGATTAGAATTTGGTAGAACACAAAGAGTGGATGCACCTTCGCCATTGCAAACGATTTTGAGCCATGTCATTTAAGGTCTCTAACCATCGGTTGCTGTCATCTCGCGAATCCCAACCAGGTAGTCTACACCTACCAACATAGCCCAGTCCACTTGTCAGTGACTTCATTGATTTGTGCCACGTTTTGGTCTGGCCACCCCTAGCTTTCTTCCAACCTACTCCTACACCATGAAACATTGCACATCGGGGCAGTCGGTGGTTGGGCATACGTAACACGTATCACAGCTATCTCAACTGATGAAGTTTCACTACTTCATCAATCGATTTGCCATTCCTACCTAGTACTCGTTTCCTAACAACTGCATTACTTACCCGGTGGTCCCAGGATATACGAGCAATGCTTCGAAGACACCTATGATCGAACACTAGTAGCCTACGAATATCATCTACTCTTATTGGCCAGTGTATGATATGGTGTCGTGGCATGAAAGAAAGCTGCAAAGGGCTAGCTTCTGCTAGACCTTCACGACTCCCTGGCTGGGATCCGAGAGATGGTGCAACACAGTGGCTAGAGACGTTATCAGATATGGCTCAGAATAGAAGCCAGTGGCGATCCTGCTGTAACCTTCTTTTACTTTCTTCGTAAAGAGTGGTTATTACTTTCTTAACTGAGAGAATTCTTCTGGTTGTACATTTCAGTCCCCCTTATCTTTTCATCCTTTCTCTTCCTATTCTCATTATTTTGTGTGGCGCATATGTATCTGGTGCCCTTTGTACCAATATGTATGTGTTTAAAATAAAACAATAAATAATAAATAATTGTGAGGGATAGTGGTGTTATCCAGTTGCTCAGAGAGATATGGACGGAGTGGAGGTCGGACTTATAACTTATTGGATGAAAGTTCAATACCTTTAATACTATATCACTGCTTTATGTCGTTGCACCGTATGTATGAAACTGAACAGAAATAATACTGAGGTCTAAGTGAACTGTTCTGAAACAGTTAATATATTATCAACCCATAAAAATCCATGATGGTTAGTGTCCAATAGCACATACTTAAATTCAACTTTACTCGGGTACTTCACAGCAATAGTAAAGCATATTGTAGAAATGTAGGATAGGATAGTCAACAGATTCGGGTGAACCAGGATAGGAAATTATTATGTGTGACTTCTTAGTCAACCCAATTTAAGCCGTTACACATTCGTTAGACTTAATCCAATTTTTGGTTTGAATTAATCAGTAATTTATACATAAAAATTACAATTACCATTATTAACAGACTCTTTACATATTTAAATTGGTATTTTTTTAACACCATCCACGGTAGATAAACAGACTGAGGTAGTAGGTTTCACGTTTGTAAAAATAATGGGCAACAGGGGCCCACACTTGTATTTAAAGGATCATGCTCCAGTATGTTAGTGAAAATTCAACCATTCAAAACACTTTCAAGTAAAACAAACTACTCAGAGATAGCCCATCTATTTATCTAAATTTTCGCTTTGTTCTCAAACGACCGTTGCATTCAAATACATAAATTTTTTGTACAAGGTAAATATAACTTTTATAATATTAAAACCACATTGAAACAGTAAGAATTAAATCTTAAAACCATTCAGAAGCATAAAGGAAGCATTTATACGGATTTATAATATAATTAGAACTTACTTCATTCATTTCGTCGGGAACAGGGGGAGTTTTTGGATAAAGTGTACCACAACAGTAACAACAACAGAGGAAACAACAACAGCATGTCAACAAGAAACACGTACAAGCAAGGCACTGTAAACAGAAAAAGTGGAGAGTTATTCAGAAAAATGCGAAAAAATTTAGAATGAAAACGATAATAATAATACAACCTTTATTTTTAAGTTATTATCCACTACAATCCATTGAAAAACTTTTTCTGAAAGGGACTCACAAATAAAGCAGAAAACAGTACAAGTAATTATACTTCACAAAGCATCCTCAGTTAGACAGTATTACGGACAATGATAAAAAGAACTAGTTTTTCATAAAGGTCAGCAATTATGTGGATCGATGTCAAGAGATTCTTTAGATTCGGATATATTACAGCAATCATTATAAATAAGTACAGAAAACTAACATACATATTACATCTCAGCACTTGTAAATGACGATGTCAGTCAGTAGTTTATAATAAATCCAGAATCTGGCACATGTGTGTCAACCTAAGTTGCTACAACTTATATCAGCAAAAAGTTGGAGTTAATGCTATGAATGCCAGATGATCTGAAATAACAGCAGCAATGATAGTAATAAAAATAACACAGATAGGGTGGTATTCAAAAAGGAATGGATTTGAGTGTTGTAAAGTATGTTTTATTTTATTTTATTTAAACACATAAATATTGGTACAAGGAAGCACCAGATATATATGCGCCGCACAAATCTCATTTGATTTGTATGTAACGAAACTCGGAAGGCAGAATGAAGTAACGAGTGAGTGCGACCGATATGAGGTTAATTTAACAACGATCGCTAACTAGTGATCACAATCTGGTTAAATTAGAGGGTTAAGCTACGGTAAGTATCACTGTAGTATGTTTAGTTTAGGATGAGCACTTTTTATTTAATTTGATCTCGTTTGGTAGATAACTCTTCCAAATGTAAAATGATCAGACCAAACGAGTGCACGACTGACTGTCATTGTGTAATACGGAATAATAATCGGTTATTCCAAATTTATGTCGAGTGTCTAGTTGATGTGATTTCGAAATAGATAAATAACTAGAACTGTATTATATCCCTGCGGATAATAATGTGAAATTAATGGTGCAGGTTTTGAATGCAAAACTTCACAAAAAATACTAAAAACTAGACGACAAATATCATACACGACAAATGTGACTGGCAAGTTAATGGTGACTTTTACTTACTGCCTATTTATTTGTTTATATGAACACGAAAATATTGGTAAAAATGGGCTAAAGGCAATCTATTCTGGGACTTCACTGACCGGAATCTGGCATTTGAAATCTACAAGCACGCTTGTATGAAAAAACTTGGGTGACTCTAATTGATGGAACAATGCCTAATGTAACATTATTGACCCTGCACTTCCAATATACAGCATTATATATATAAATATATATATATATATACACTTTTAAAGGTCAATGACTAATTAGTTTCAAAAGGAACTGACGATGCGAAAAGGGAACTAAGCGGCTTTCTGTCACGCCTAAAACTAATACCTGCTGGTCTGTGTACTAGACACAAACAAATGGGAGATTTACACGAGTGATTGGAAAAGGGTAGTGGGCTAGAAACTACGTACTATCAAACATCTGCAGATTACTAGGACGAGCACAATAATTCTGAGTTGACGACATTTTAATTGAATAAAAGACCACGGAAAATGAACCATGAGATTGTTTTCAAACCCCCCTTTCTTAGGATAGTATATAACACTACATACCTGTACACAAGGGTTGCGAAAAGCGAGATACGGCTTCCAGTCTTCCTCATCAATATGCTCCGCGACATAAATTCCCAGAGCTCCATACCGGTCATACAATTTTCTTTTCTGCTCGTTCGCTAGTATGGAATGTGCTCTATTGACTTCTTTGAACTACAATTTTGTTTTTCAAGAAAAATGCACTATACTTTTTCAGAAGCCCCAGGATCTTTTAGGTTTTTGTCCGGGTGATATTTTAGTGCGAGCTGAGAGAATATTAAAATAAGATGAACATACTCTACGATAGGATTTTCTAATTTCCTCAGCTGTTGCGTTCTTATCTACTTCTAGAATAGCATATAGGTTTATATTTTCCTTCCTATAATATCACCATTAATAATGATTCTAACATACGAAGATTTCTGGCTGTTTTTACTTTCAGAACCACTGCCCTTTGAAGGATCAGGAGGCATTGCCCGGTTGGAGTTATTCGCATGCTCAAGGCCACACCTTGAGATCAATTTCGCGCGCGTTAGAAATAGTAATTCCGTACTTGTTTTGATTATAGTTGCTTTAGTGTACTTGTTGCATCAAAGAGAATTATTGGTCTACTTTAGCTCGAGGTATTTCGGTTAGGGTCTGAAATTTCGCTAAGCTTTGTCTTGTGGTACCATCTTCCTTATTGACTATGACACTTGTGTTCATATTGTGATCGCATTGCGCTTTTAATACCTAGTCTGACTACAATGCTTGACAGTACTCATAAATGTAGACAGCTGAACTATTTATTTCCAGTGGGGGAAGTAATGCAATGTGATGAGTGCAAAAAGTGTTTCCATAAGATGTGTGCCCGTTTACTACCCACCACATACAAAAGATGCTCGAAGCCTAACTCGCATTGGCTTTGCATGTTCTACTGTACAAATAGGACCTTACTAGTCCAAGATACTATGAACCTGTTAGCTTTGGCCTGTAAGAAGGAAGATGGCGGTTGCTCTGGTAACACAAGTACCGACAGTGAAGAATGTGTCAAGGTTATGCATGCTGTTACAGGACGCATTAAACACCCGACTATGATTGACGGAAAAGTAAAATCTCCACTATAACTAACGAGGGGGGAAGCACCACTTGATATTGAAATGGGTAGCTGTGAATCTCGGGTGAGAATTGATGACCCGGATGAAACTGTCAATATCCCAAATAGCCCCGATGTGGCTCTCCCGAGTGATGAGAAATGGAGTGTAGTGCGGAGAAAAGGAAGTGAAAAAAAACTATAAGTATTACGCACTTGGTCTGCAAGTCATTGGTGTTCTCTTATTTTGAGTCACACAATACACTACCAAACTCTGATAATAAGGCGGAACTCCACCTTGGCGTGATTGAGAAGAATTTAATGTCATATTATTGTGAGTAATTTGCTGGAGTCAAACGATCCCCTAAGTAAACCACCTGCTTCAGTCTGGGCACCTGGGCAGTATCACAGCCCTCACACAAATCAAATGAGATTTTTGAGGCGCATATTTATCTGGTGCTTCCTTGTACCAATATTTATGTGTTTAAATAAATAAATAAATAAAACGATCCCGATCCCCAAATTAGACGAGCCCATGATTTGGAGAAGCCCAGAGAATATATTCGCAGCATCTTACCAGATAACACTAAAGGAGTTTAGGTCAAAAATTGATTAGAATAGGTAAGAGCACCGACGATAGTGTTCAACCTGACCATATAAATTCCTTAAAGTAATCTTAGGGTCGAAGAAGTAACGTTATCTTCTGTTAAGTAGTACTCGTAGTTACGATACGTCTAACATTCCAGTAAGAATTGAAGTCTCTTGAAGATAGAATAAATTAAATGGTTCAAATGGTTGAGGACGGAATAGAAGAAGCTTTCGCTTAACGGGCTTCCGTGTCTGATAGCAGTGGATCACCAATACCTCCAGGTAAGAACCTAGGTATATGAACAATAATATAGGAAAAAAAGAGTTTGGTAAATCATAATAATATGTTATCCTTAGTCCTTAAGAATAAGTCAAGTTTCCTCTTAAAGGACTCCTGGAAGGTCGCTTGGACAAGCCCAGTCGGCAGCGAATTCCAGCACTTGACAACTCTAACGGAGTAGAAGTTGTGTCTGCAATCTGTTCTACTATGTAGAGTCTCCAATTTCTGGGTGTTACCTCTGAGGTTAGTGTTATGACTAAGCTTAACAAGTTGTTTAGGGGGATGACCAGAAGTATTAAGGATACTATAAGTCATAAGAGGATCACCTCTAAGACGCCTGTACTCTAACGGGTAAAGGTTAAGAGATTTGAGGCGCTCTTCAGAACACTGCACTAGGTGAACTAGAAATTCGTCTGCAAAATGGTGAGGAAAATCTCCGATTAGTATGTTTTGGAATAGTCAGGTCTTGGAAGCGAATGCTACCAAGACTACCAAGGTCGTTCTGCCTAGGAGTTTTATATGCCAGCGCTTGTAGTCTAAGACTTGAATTCTGTCAACTATGAGCGTTAGTGAACAAATTAAAGCCACTCATTGTACTTGTGATGAGAACTTGGTAAGTCCATGACTTCAACTTTACTCTAAAATTATCTGGAAACCATTGTCTAAGAAGTGATAGACATAGATGCAGTGAAGGAGGTGGCATCCTTTTATACATAGCCATGATAGTGGAACTTGCGAAGTCATTAGCTGTGAGTTCACTATCGGATGTTGTACATTTGTACTCAGTGTCATCTATCGCAGTCCAATCCGTCTAACAAAGGATTTTATTCTAGAGCACATTCGGCTATGGAGTGCCAATAACAGATGCTTTTTATTAAGAGACTTCAATGCACCTGACGTTAGTTGGACTGAGATGACCACGGAAAGATCTATAAACTCCTTTGATAGCAGGATCCTGGTAACAGTAATGGAGCATGCATACAGCATGTATACAAACCTACACGTTTTGGTGTAAACCAAGGTTCCTCTCTGTTGGACTTGGTAATCACTCATGAGACTGAGGATATTGCAAACCTAAATATTCTTCCCCTGTTAGTGAATAGCGATCACTCTGTTTTATCATTCACGTTTAGAGCTAGTGACATGACATGCAATCAGGTTAAGCCTCACCCAAATGTATGGAGAGCTAACGTATCAGCCATTCAGGAATGTGCTGCTAAGACAGATTGGTCAGTAGATACTAGCTCATCGGCTGAAGAAGCATGATCTATATTTAAAGGCAAGTTTAATTCAGTCACGTCCCCGTTCATACCATACTTGGTAACACGTAGACCGAATAATAGTCCACCATGGATAAATAAACAAGTCAAGAAACTTCTTACACGTAGGAAAAAGCACCGGAATATGTTCACCTCTGTTGGCTTAGAACAGTACAGATCCAGTTATTGTAAGATTAGGAATGCTTGCACGGCGTTAGCTAATAAGACTAGACAGTCATGTGAAAAATAATTGGTACGGGATCGTAAATATAGTCCGAAACGGTTATTCTCTTATATAAAATGACGAACTCAGAGAAGTGTCGGAATTCCATTACTTTTGGTACAAGAAAATTCGTTAATATTTGCAAGAAACCACACCGAAAAAGCTGCAGCTTTATCGGAATATTCCAGTTAAGTATTTTCTATCAGTAATTAAGAACGAACAACTACTCATTGTGATTTTGGCAGCTTGGTGATGGACCTTCTAGTAATTGAGAAAGGTAATGTCCTATTATTATTATTATTATTATAAGCTTTATTCAATATTATATAATTTGCTACAAAATCGAATTCTCAGCCTAAAGTATTTCAACAAGCGTCCGTTTCTTATTTCTTTGTTGCTCCTGACGATAAATGTTTAGCGATCGCCAGTTAGATATCAGCAGTTCAATCAATCGACATATGGATAATGTATATTCTTTTCGCTGCATGTTCCCAGCAAACACGACATCTCTGATTAGGCCTTTTGTAACCTTTACAGCGAAAGGTTGTACAGTTTTCAGAAACGCACCTGAATAGGTTGTGTGATTAATAGACATAATGATGTATTAAAACAAATAATATTAGATAACTTTTCAATAATTTCTCATCAGGTTCTACAATTATAAATTAATAATCCATAAAAGAAGATTGGCCAAGTTTAAGGCAGAGTACATCAATTGAAGAAACTGTAATATGTGAATCAAGGATTGTTTGTCATATAAAATAAGATCGAATCGTTAATGTTTTTGGGATGACTAATATGAAGTGTTAACTTGAATCAGTTTATAGGTGAATTAAAATCGTAAGATAAATTATCAGAATATATATAGTTGACATGGGGGTGAGAGATAGAACAATGGGATTACAAATCGGAAATTACGTAATATGTAGAATTATATAAATTAGGTCAGATATAGTAGATAGGGGGTGGATGATAAATAAATTTCTATAAAAGGTTAGCAGGTGTGATAATAATAATAAAGATAATAATAAGAATAAGAATAATGACTGATAAGATGTGTAGATAAGACTAAGATATAGAAATGAACATTAATCAAATTAATATCACCTTATTACAAAATTGATTATTAACAAGTTGCCCCTGAAGTTGGCCAGGGTAAAAGGAGTGGCTGTACATATTTCTTTTGGATGCAGAGCTCTGGCTTTTTGATCCGAATAGCAATTGCCTCAGCCGTCTGCAGGATTCTCTGTCTGACAGAATTAGGTAGACTGCTATTTACACGATATATTACTGTGAAAGATTGCTCAATGTCGGCTCTATGTCCCGTCTGAACTAAATGGGCTAAAACAGAGCTGTTAACCGTTCTGACTACACCTTTGCTTAACCACACTGGAAGGTGTTCACGAGCCCGAGTATACAAATTCCTAGAACATCTGCCTATATAACTTGCTCCACAGGAGCAGTTGAATTGATAGATACAGAAAGAAGTGGCTAGTCTAGGCAATTTATCTTTCAATGTCGGCGTGATCATTGGGCGTGTGGAAAACATTAGTTGTAGTTTACCTGCATTAAAAGTCCTTTCGATTGATCTTCGTAGTTTCAATCTTACCATTTCACCAGGTGCGTCACCTCTGAATTGTAGACGTATATACAGAGGTTTTTTATTCACAATTAAACATTCTTTATGGTCTCTTTTATTAGTAATGTTTTTATTTATAAATTTCTCCGGGTATCCATTTTCTCTCAGGGTCCTATATAATGCTTTTGTTTCTTCCTCGACCGTATCTTCAGATCATATGGTCTTAATTCTATAGTGTAATGTCTTAATTAGGTTCCTTTTGTACTGTAGAGGAACAAAACTAAGAAAGTTAGTATACTGACCCGTCCACGATTTTTTCCTGTTTATATTTCTCCTTAATGAACCGTCTTTTCTCTTTGTAAGGAGAACATCTAGAAAAGCGATCCTACCTCCATTTTCCTCCTCACATGTGAAGTTAATAGACGGATGGGCTGTATTGAATAGCTGTAGTGTCTGCATTAAGTCAGTATAG